TTACGGATTCGCCGACACCAACCCACACGAGCTATGGTTCTGAGACAACGACTGTCGAACACCTGAAGACGTCTCAGTTCCGCTGCTCGAATAGACCAAGTCTACCAGCCATACAACAAAACAGCCCGTACTGTAGCTTGATACACACGTCCTTTGAGATTCAGGGATAAACCATTCTGACGCCATAGGTGTCTCAAATTAGCAAACGCGGCCCGAGCCTTGCAGATTCGTGCATTCACCTCATCTGTCACACTACAATCAGCACTAATACAACTTCAAATTAAAGTGGAAAATTGACAACGGCTGGATAGTAAACTAATTTCAGAAATTTTATCCGTTGAACGCAAACAATAAAGCGGGATAACCACCGCGTATTCGGTATCGTTTAATGATTTGAACAGTATCACGTGAACATTTATAGCTGTCAAGTCGGGCGGCAAAATTTTCCGTTTGGAACACAGCATGGGGATTTAAATAGCAGTGCGGTAAAGCACGAAATCACCTGACCCGTGCAACATATTTGGTATTCGGGCCACCGCTCGGTTGTTTGATGGTCTGATTGTAAATTGTACCTCAGTTCAAGCAATGTGGACTGAGGATATACGTCTCAGAATGTTGATATTTGTTTTACATAATTCTCATCCATGAGACGTAAAAAACGTGAGTTATATACAAGGAGTAGTCAAATTGTTGAACGGAGTAAAGTGAGCATTCGTTAAAGCAGATGTCAGGTGATCAGGACCGCATCAACCTGCAGCACTATTCGCGGACACTGAGCTGAACGTGGCTGTCATTCTGGATGAATATTTTGGGGTTTTGTTGGCAAAACCTCAGGGAACAAGGAGTTCTGAATCAAATCAGTGACTAGTCTGCATCTGTTGCTTGACGGCGGCTAAAAATAGCTCTTGATTTGATCTCCAAACCAAGAGAAACCGTTTCGCAATCTACATATGCTCCAACGGACTTCAATGTAAGTCTCTCCCCAACTTTGATAGAACTGGCTTACTTCGTGGGTGACCGAAAAGCCATTGAGCCAGTTTAGGACATGTGGAGCATGATAGCTCTAAAAATCTTAGTATTCCGTAAGTGTGAAGCAATCTGTGATTGTCTAAGTAACAAAGCTCACTTATATTACATATTTTCTGTCAACCGAATAAAGAATAAATGGGGATTCAAGTGGGTTCCAGATGAGTCACCCGTCAAAGCTAAAATGGCATGCAAATGAGTGTTGCACACTAATTTCATGCGATTCGGGTTCAATTGGAACATAACGTTGTTGAAAGCTTAGATACTTTGCTTATCTGATGAACTCCAAGAAGGGCGAAGCTAGTCGTGGGCTGCCAAAGACTTTTCAGCAACCTAATGAGTAGTGCATCAAGTCAAAAAAAAGCTGGGTATTTTTCTCTGATGGTTGAGATCTTGCAGCACAATGAATTGCTAGCCAGGCCTTTTACACTTAACGTTTGAAAAGAATCAAAGACCTGATATTTCTCCCAGATGTGTTTTCCATAAAGGACGTATTTTACTGTCCTCTCCATGAGCTGTGCACATATCAGTGCATCGCTCCTTGCAGCACATTGCTAGCCAGGCCTTTTACACTTAACGTTTGAAAAGAATCAAAGACCTGATATTTCTCCCAGATGTGTTTTCCATAAAATAAAGATTTTACTGTCCTCTCCATGAGCTGTGCACATATCAGTGCATCGCTCTATAAGACCCTTTAGAATTTCTAGTAAGCGTGCCATCACAACGTTCCACAGCATAACGATTTTTCTTGAAATACCGCTCACGTGATTATTAAAATTAACTCCCCTCTGAAGCAGATGATATCATTGGGGCATCCGAAGAAGAATCCATTTCCCCGTCAATACCTGATGTAAAACAAACCTGCTTGACAAGTATAGTCAGAGCGACTCAGCTTTTGATGTCCCCACGATGGGGCCTCGTTCTAGATGAATCATGGGGAGGATTTGATATAAACGGGAGGCACTTGGTACTTTGGGGAAATAGATAACCTCGGATTGGGGTTTAACTCTGTAATTAATAATACTTTAGTTTACCTTTACACGTCAGTGCTACCCGGAATGCAAGAGAGCATAATTTTTCTGTGTGCCGACGTCAGTTGAACGTTTTGACAACACATACCCTCGTATTTTAATTCCTTATGGCGTTGCGTGCCAACTATATGAAAAATAAATACTATTAGTCTCTTCATTAAACGGTAGTTAGTAGTTCGTTATATCAACCAATGTCTAATGCCATAACTGTGAGAAAAAAATGTTCTGTGTCAGTTTGAGGTTTTAGACACGTGACATTCCATGAATCCGTCAAGATATGACTCACTAAGAAGGGCCATTTCTATCATACATTGTTATTTACTTGCTTAAACATGACGGTTCATGACTAAACAAAACGATTGCGAAATAGCACCACAATTAGTAAAGATGTCTAAAAGAAATCAGTGTAATTTTATCATTCTCTTTTTCTCTTCCCATTAAAACGGACGGTAATAAAGCGAAATAGAGCTACATTTCAAATTTGACCGAATAAACATTCACACTTTGCACTAATCGGGCTTTTTGTGCGCAGAGTTTGTCAGAAGTAGAACGCTTCTACCAATCGGTTCATCCGCCTTTTAGCGTTCACTCTCGTCACCCTTTGCTGCATACCATGTGCGGCACTGTACATTTCTACGGAACCTGTTTTGCTGCTTCTTGGACAGAACCCAGTGATTGCAACGTAAGTTTTGTGATTATTTTTGGTGAATGACTGGCCACAGCCAATGAAAGAAGCTGTAGTCAGCTGATCTGTCACAGCACTGACCATGACAAACCACTTATCTTTCTTAGGGAAAATAATGTTGGTCTGTTGACTGTCACCCTATTATCACCCCAGGTCTACAAATTCGAATAATATCGATTGGTCACATGACTCTTCTCCCGAATTCATCTGTAGTGTTTTAATAAAAACCTGCTGCACAAACATAACTGTCTTGATGAAAAACTAGTAAACTGAATCAATTAAGCGTACGTAAACCGATTTTTATGGCCTCCAACACCAAAATATGCAGATTTTTCTGTGATTTTTAACCAGAATTCTACACTTTTATTCAACCTTGTCTGTTAGACTAAGCGGATTAAACCTGAAGCACCGTGTGATGTCTGCGATTAACATAAATGCGCTTCTCAATGGTCGTCTGGCAGTACTTGTATTGAAAGTAAAAGGGGAATCACTATCACTTTTCTTTTATTAAATTAGTTACCTTTACTGGCAGTTCGGGCTTGAACCAATGAACCAGATATTGTGTCACGCTACCTGACTGGGAAGTCCTGACCAGGACAGTTATCGTTTCTCTGTTGGGCCTTGTCGAGGGTTGAACCTGGCCAGACCAGTAAAACCATGGTTGGATTGGAAATTTCCAGAATAATTCAGCTTTCTAATTCGACGTCATTGGGGCGAAACCCGTATTCATCTAAAAATGACCGAAACTTTGCAATACAGGTGCACTCAAATTCTCGTTCCAAAACATAGAAAGTGATTTCGCCTGATAGTACAGAACCACTGTTGCTGCTTTTCTCCACTTCGTAGAGCAAATCAACTATTTATTGGGGCATTTAGGGGTTTTGCGAAGATTGGCTTTTTTGAAGGTAATTTTTTTACCGGTCCATCATAGGACTACTCTAATACCAGCTACCATTATATTAACGGAACTCACTAGACTGGACAGTATAAAGGGTGCCAAGTTGTACGAAAAACTTTGAAATTTTACTAAATTCCCCTAATAATAAATTTGGCAATGCTTTTGAGATACTGGTGGCATGGAACCAGTAGTACTCGTTGTATGTAATTCACGTGGTCGTTGCGACACCTGAGTCCAATTAGCGAAAGAAATTGCTTCAAATTCTGGATTCCCTTTCTAGAGATGAACTCAAAATTTCATTGAAAGCACTGCGGCAACTTCGATCACAGGCAAATCATGTTGCAGTGATTCCTCACTGTCATCCGGGCACAGTCCCGATAAAACCACGCAAAATTTTGCGCTACTAGGCCACAAATAGTAGTATGACATTTAACGTATACTGACAGAATCGCGCCCCGACCTATCCACGTGGATCTTGCCGAAAATTGCAGCTCACTATTAACGACTGAAGAAAACAGCATTGTCAGACGAAATAACAGTCTCACATTCATTGTAGAGAACTCAATAATTCAATGGTTCCCTCCTGCGAGCTGCTTGTTCGGTGACGTTAATTTCCACTTTCTTCCGTTTGCCGTACAATGGGTCAGCTTGTGGATAGCGGTCGTTATCTGGATTCCCACTTTCATAGAAGACCAAAATATGCTTACTGTAGAACGTTGATCCACGATTCAAACACAAGCGTGTGCAACAGTTTTTTTATTAACTGGGCTTGGACACAGATTGATATGCGCCCATAAGCGACTTTCTATATTGCATTCTGAAAACAAACCCAACTGGGAAGTAATTATCATCGTAATCAACAGTAGCAGCTGCTTTTAAGTGTCATGGAGGGACAGATATGCGCCCATATGCGACTTTCTATATTGCATTCTGAAAACAAACCCAACTGGGAAGTAATTATCATCGTAATCAACAGTAGCAGCTGCTTTTAAGTGTCATGGAGGGACAATCAGAACTAAGCATAGTGTAGCAATAGAAATTTCCTCAAGTAGCTGTTTTACTTGGTTTTCTGTGTGCAACTGACTAGTGCTTATTTTGGGGGCGAGATGGCTCGGTGGTAAGAGCGCGAATTCGCTGACCGGAAGGTCCGACCTCTGCCTCTCGACTTCCCCTATCTAGGCTTGGGCAACCTGGTAGTATCCCAGTCCTCGCGCATCCTTCTGGTGGCATGATAGCTAGGCACTGAAAGGGTGTTGCAGCTGAGCGATTGCTCTGCCTAAAATTGTGAATTTGGGGTCTGTAGCTCCGATGTTCTCACTCACGACCTCCAACATGATAATTTTACCGTATAGAAACATTTTTACTAAATAACCGGTCCCCACAAGCCAATGATATGTCACGTTGAAGTTCATCTGTCAACGCTAGAACCTCATTTGATTTCTTATTCAAATGATAATCTTATGGCCCGAATATTTCAGTAGCAAGCGAACACAGTCAGCTGCATATCATCGTCAGCTAATCGGAGTTTCTGGATCATGAAGCTCGTTTGTATCACTTTTCGAAGGATTAGGAAACCAAATTATTCTCGCTGATAATGGTACCTGTCTAATTGAATTCCAAACAACTTTTGTCTGCTGGTGTGTGGAGTTTCTTTCCTAAATTCAGGCTTATAGTTGGTGACACCCCGAAGAAGAAGGCACAGTTATAGTGGCTGCAACGCGTAGCTGAATTGCGCATGGGCGATACTTTTGACACGCGCAGAGCTCCGTAAGTAAAGAAAAGTTTACAACTCTCAGCCTTAAATAAGGTCAGAAGCCATAATGTGGACCAGTCACGTCAGCTAGACAGCTAGTTTTACGTTCATTTTTACAATACGGCCTTTGAGTTTTCTCGGCAAACATTGTGCAAAGATTCGGTGTGGTCAATTCTTCATCCAATATACTAGATGAGTCTTTTTCACCATGGCATGAGGTATGAAAGTGTCAACGCTGTTAGCAAGGATAAGATAACGACATAGCACTCAGCTCAGTACCTTACAGAAGTATATTCTTTCAACGTATGATTCTGTTCCACACAGAATGTTTGTCACATTCAACAGATTCAAACTGACGCTGTTGTACTTTTAAGATGCTTATGCACTCTTCACTTTAACTATTTTCTGCTCCACAGAATGACGGCCGATCTCCTCGTTCGGCTTATCCCGGCATTAATAGTGAGTTGACAAACAAGCATTTCTCACTCATATTACTGGTTTTCAGTTTTGTGCCTGGGCGCAATTACTGACTAAATACGTGCAAAGTCAGGTGAGTCATTCACTGATTCAAGCTGTTGAGCACTAACTGTTCAAAGACGAGGCTGGTATGTTGAATGATCTTCATCCTTTTCTCCGTTGTAGAATCGCGTCTACATTTCGCTGTTTATTATCGTCATCACGAATGGCGTAAATGCACTCCTGCACTACATCCTACTCTATCATCTGCAACTTGGGATCAAGTAAGTGTTGGAACTGGCTATGCAAAATTATTAACCTTGCTGCGAAATAAAATGCACCATTTGTACTGTGACATTGTGACCACCAGTCAATGTTCACACGTCCCTAAATACCATGCGCAATGGACTTAGGGACAGAACCAAGTAAGCAGGTTCTTGCGTTGATGTCCAGTCACCGCATGAAAACCACCGAATACTTTACGATTGGTGTGATAGATAAGAAATAAATGCGCATTTTGTTACCTAGACTTGGTCGATCGGATTTCGCCCTACGCCTTACACATGACCTACATATATGACTTACATATGACCTTACACATGACTCCTTACCAATGAGGTTTTCCGATTTCAAGGAATACCTGGATGACGTACTGACCTAAGAATAAGTTACCGTGACGCAAACTTAGCTCATAATATGAGGCTTTTCTGAAATCGAAACAAACTTGCTTGAGTACACAGAATCTATCCAGTGTCCCATATTGCCAGAAGGAACACGTTTGAATTTTGGTCCGATGGTAATTAAGAGGTCCTTAAGGGAGTGAGAGTAAACGAAATACACTCATCTGCAAATCAACTTAGTTTTAAGGTAGATTCACCTGGACCCCAGCTGGACTTATCGTTTATGATGTTTTTAAGCGACTGAATGTGCTGCATCAGGCCATCTCATGTTTCATTTCGTACGATGTTCGAGATATCGCGATACATGTAGAGGCATGACACACTGCTCATAAGGTTGCTGAAAACACTTTGACGTCCCAGGATCGGTTTCACCCTTTTTGGGGCTCCTCAAGTAGGCGTGTTCCTCTCGAGTTTCCGTTAACCTTATGTTCCACGTGAACCCAAATTGCACGAAATTAACGAAATACACTCATTTGCATACCGGTTTAGTTTTGACATGGACTCACCTGAAACCAAGCTGAATCTCCCTTCTATGAGACCGCTGAAACGCCATGTAGGTAAGTAGTTCATAACAAATTGTGCGTTGCTGCTATGCACTGCAAAGGGATGTGCCTCGCTGGAGCTGAGAAAACATATCACTGGAAGGCCTTGGATACGATCACCTGAATGCTGACAGTTACCTCATATCAAAGTTTACACTGATTACATGGGACTAGTGTGACTTATGTAGGGTGTACCCTGAGTGTACAATAGGAAATAGCCAATGGTTTGCCTTTACAAAAAATCATACTTTTGATAGAGCAAAATTACCCGAAACAGTTAATTTTACATACACATTCAGCATTTGCCGAAACCTGGTCAACTTTTTTCTAAGTTCGATATATTTTGGCCAGCAGGTCTCCGAAAAGAGGAGTTTATTCAGGATTCTGAATTGGTTACTTGAAGTTTCGGTGCATAAATTAGACAGATATTGTGCCAAAAACAAAACATTCAATGCAGTTTTTTACTGGCAAAAATGTACATCTGTGTATACGTGCCAGTTAAGAGACCACCTGTTCGAAATGTTCTTACCTACACACTCATCATTTCCGTTGTGATTTACAAGCCCCCTAATTCTGGCTTGCTTTGCATGTAGAAAATTCCTTAGAATCGAAATATCACAGTATCGTTCCGCATTCATCCCCGACAAAACGTAGAACTTTTACTCAGCACTAGGACAAGACCATCCTATTACTTATGTTAGCCTCCGTACTCTTCCGTCCAGTTTCCCAAAATACGCATTATGAGCATGAGAACCACTGCACCAGTGAGTACCACAACCTCGTGACTTCCATAGCCGTGCATCTTTATGTCATTTCTAACAGAACTGACTGCGGAACTCCGTGAAGAAGATTAGCCACGCCAATCGAAACGTCGAACTATTACTCCAGTACGCTGTGTTTCGGCTTTAAACTTACACATTGAGCAAGAAAACGAGCGACGATGCGTGAAGAGTCCATCGAATCGGACTGCATTGTATACGGACAAGAGGTACATTTGTGAATGATGCAGACAAACTACAGCGGCTACTCACGTGGTACGAGTCAAAACATGGTAAGGAAAGGGCTTGTAAGTGAACCAAAGTACCAGAAAAGAGCAACCTGCGAGGGGTTCCGCTCACCGGCCGTGCTATGATACACTCTGTCCAACATTATATTTGTGCACGTCATCACTCCTCTGCCTAATAGCTAGGTTCCGTCACTCCCTATTGGGTAACATGTTTATAGCACTTATGACAATGTGGGGGAGACAAGGATTTTGAAGGTATCAGATATCAGCCGATAAATAAATAATCCTTTGAGATTTCCACATCTGATTATTTACAGATAGAGAATCAATTCTCGTGAGAACGAAGAAGGTAGCTAACAAAGCTTGTTTTCTGTGGTTGTTCCTCTTGGCTAATACATCACAAATTTATATGGTACCAGACATCACGTGGAAAAGGTTAAGATCGGGGCTACATACACTTTGGAGAAGTAGAAATCAAAGGAAGGGGAGGTTGGATGAGGGATGTTTCGTAGGCCAGTTCAAGTTCAGAGGTCGCACAAGTTTTTTTTGGATGCAAAGTTGCGAATCCAGCAAACGGATTCCAATCGCCTCTGCAATCGAGATTAGTCTGGATCGTACCAATCGTGATCGGTTCAGAGGTATATGATGGTGAAGGCCTGCTGCTTGTCTATGACATGACTAGATTCGGCCAAATGTGACGCAATCGCGCTTGAGCCTGGTTTCTTTCCACTGCCACCCAGAGATACGGAATTGCGTTCTCGCATTCTGTCTGACAAATGCCTTGTCGACGACCAACATATTATGCTTGGGACGAGCACATAAAGAAAGCTAGTGGTAGAACGTGGCAATTTATTTTTTAAGCGGAATTTGATAGTTGGGCTAGAGTTGAAGTTGTCTGCCAAAAAACAAGAAAAGAACTGTACAGNGAGGTACATTTGTCAATAATGCGGACAAACTACAGCGGCCACTCACGTGGTACGAGCCAAAACATGGTAAGGAAAGGGATTGTAAGTGAACCAAAGTACCAAAAAAGAGCAACCTGCAAGGAGTTCCGCTCACCGACCGTGCTATGATACACTCTGTCCTACATTATATTTGTGCACATCATCACTCCTCTGCCTAATAGCTAGGTTCCGCCACTCCCGATTTGGTAACACGTTTATAGCATTTATGACAATGTGGGGAAGACAAGAATTTTGAAAGCATGAGATTTCCACATCTGATTATTTACAGATGGAGAATCAATTCTCGTGAGAACGAAGAAGGTAGCGAACAAAGCATGTTTTCTGTGGTTGTTCCTCCTAGCTAATACATCACAAATTTATATGGTAGCAGAAATCACGTGGAAACGGTTAGGATAGGGGCTATATACACTTTAGAAAAATTGAAATCGAAGGAAGGGAAGGTTGGATAAGGGATGTTTCGTAGGCCAGTTCAAGTTCAGAGGTCGCAAAAGTTTCTTTTGGATGCAAAGTTGCGGATCCAGCAGACGGATTCCAATCGCCTCTGCGATCGATATCAGTCTGGATGGTACCAGTCGTGGTCCGCTCAGAGGTACCCGGTATATGATGGTGAAGGCCTGCTGCTTGTCTATGACATGACTAGATTCGGCCAAATGTGACGCAATCGCGCTTGAGCCTGGTTTCTTTCCACTGCCACCCAGAGATACGGAATTGCGTTCTCGCATTCTGTCTGACAAATGCCTTGTCGACGACCAACATATTATGCTCGGCACGAGCACATAAATGAGTACACACGAAAGCTAGTGGTAGAACGTGGCAATTTATTTTTTAAGCGGAATTTGATAGTTGGGCTAGAGTTGAAGTTGTCTGCCAAAAAACAAGAAAAGAACTGTACAGCTGTTTCATCCTTATTGGGAACCATCAAACAGTGCACATCTCACGAAACTCGGGAAGTCTCCAACAAGTGACCCTCCGGTCAGAGTTTGAACACCTCAGTTGTCGGCCTCATCTCAAGGTTAGCTGTGATGTAAGCTTCCACACACGTATGACGTTTGACAAGACTAGAACCTACGGTTTCTTTACTTGCGATCGGTCAGGTAGAGAACCGTTAAATATGTTTGATTCGTGAGTCTATTTGCTCACTCGTCCAGCATGATACAAGTTCGGACCCCGGCATCTGTATTCTTTATGCTAAACTGGCCTACTTGTGTCACGGATGAAAATGTTAGTAGCTCAGGGAGCGTAGATGGTCGTTGGATTGTCCGTTGAGCTTGGTAATTTGATTGCGAGCGTCTGAACGTTGCACAACCACTAACCCCCCCTTCGGCACCACTACGCTCCCAAAAACGCACTGATGATGTCAACTCGATTGGTGATGAAACGTTTGCAATCAAATTGCCCAGCTCAGCGGAAAAGTCAACAACCATACTTGCGTCGCTTTTGAATTACTTTTGTGTTTCAGCAGAGAATGCAACTTGAGTAACATTAATCATTGAGTTCGTAACTGAAATTAAGGATATATAATTCCTTGTAAGTAAGTGATTAGAACGGTTAAGTTTGTTGGTTCGCACAACTATATGTCGCGCAAATTTTACGGGTTGTTGAATTGCTTCCAGTCAGGAAAACTGGTATGAAATTACTTCACTCACAACTCTTGGCACCAAGATGAGACAATGGTGGGTTGATTTACTACGTGGCTACGTGCCTTATCTAAGTTGTTTATCAAAGGTTCATAAAGAATGAACGACGTAGTACATCAGACAATACTCTATGAATATTACGCAAATTTCCATCCCACAGAATGAAAAGTAGGAAATAAACTCGAAACCATGAGAACAATGAAGGTAGCGTACAAATCTGGTTTTCTGTGATTACTCTTCCTGGCTAATGTATCGCGAATTTATATCTTATCAGAAATCAAATGAAAAAGGTTAATATCGGGTTTACAGATACTTTGGGAAATGCAAATCAAAGGAAGAGGATTTTGATTGAGGGATAGATCAGTGGGTCATGAAGTCAGATAACTGATATCAACAACAGACAGGCTTGTGAGACCAGATTTTTCACAGGCAAGTTGAAGTTCAGAGGTCGCACAAGTTTCTTTTGGGTGCATTCAGCAGTCGGATTTCAATTGCCTCTGCGATCGATGGTAGACTGGATCGTACCAGTCTTGATCGGCTCAGAGGTGCCTGTTCGGTCTTTGCCGGCGCTCAGCATCCGCACAATGGAATTGAATTTTCGAATTTAGTCCCTGATGCACCAAAGCAATCAGGCGGTTGAGTTCAGAGCCCCGTTGAGGTATCCCGGGGTCTCAGCGATGCTTGGAAAGTATCTCATCAGACTTTTATGCTAGAAGTATGATTGCTTCAATGGACAATGAAATTTGATGGGCTGCAAAATCGTGAACGTAGATTAGGATGATTTCTGGTTTGAGCACATGCGCAACAAAATGCAACATTTTGGCGCCAAAAGTTTTACTCCACTTGTAAGGGTTTTGAAGGCAAAAGCATTGTGCGCTGATGAGCTTCGCTTTTTCCAAGGCCGTGTACATATGTGTTCAAAACGATTCCTCATCGGATATAACTAATGCACGGTCTTCAAACCAGGCGGCTCTTTCCAAGATGATTCTGATCATTTGGTGAAAGGTTGGTTATTCTGCTAAAGTTTTCTTGCGAAAGATTGAGCGTAACACAATCAGCTGGCGGTCACCCATACAGCCCGGTGTCGTTTATGTCACTGGTGAATTCTAAGTACTTATTCACTGATTTTCGAACATAACTTTCCTTCGAAGGTGTGAAAAATGAAGGGATGAGAAGAAAACGATGGTTATCAAAGCCGCAAATAAGAGCTTGTAGGTGCGAATTGAGATTCGAATTGAGTAGTTACAACATGAGGATTTGAGGCATCAATCATTTTGAACATGCCGCATATTGGTTAGAAATGACCTTTGTTTGACAAAAACACCCTTGATTTCAGAGCAGAAGTAAGCATTCTTCGAATGGTACGATTCTGACTGCTGAACAACCCTCAAATAAGAGAGAGCACTCGCATAGTATTTTGATGTTTGACTTCAAAGATTCGGTTATCTACTCTCATCGTCATGTTTCATTACACTGAAGGAATGGGTTGAACATCTCCTGACTAAGTAGGACGTGATTACAACTACTTAAAAGATCGATAAAATCAATATATGCTTGCCTCGTGACCTTGGTTTCAACCCTCTTCTGGGTCAATTTCATTTCAACGCAAACCCGTAGTAAAAATGAATGGATAAACAGATGACACTTTCGATCTGTCCCGACTTTGGGTTGATTTTGGATAGATTGTATGCTTGTGAAGACGAATTTTTTCTTCCATAGACTTCTGCACATTTATTGTGTGAAGATTTCCCTCTTTTCAGCTTTGATTTAAGCAAATATTTAATAATGAATCGGATCCCTTGGAACCACTTAAAATCTTATCAAGTTAAAGTGGTTAGAACATATGCCTTGATGTCTTACCACCGTCCAAGAAAAAGGCACTGTTTTGACTCTAAACTGTTGCTCGCAAAGGGTTCGCGTCGGACTGTCCGCGTTTTCGCAGCGCCAAAACTTCAACTGAGTATTGTGGGATATTAGCATCTTTAATCTCACTTGCTTCTTCTGGCACATAGTTAGAAACCCTGCAAGAAGTGGTACCTGACTGGCCCTATTACGGAGCCCACCTCTTATTGGGAATGCCATGCTCAAGTCTGTCTGTCATTGTATGGTGGCCTCATGTGCGGGAAGATTCTCAAACGACGATGGATCAATTCCTATGGTGGTGTCTATCTTCGATATCACACTCAGATGAGTTTCTGGCGTTGGTGCTCGAAGCCATGTCTACCTTGTACTTAATTGTTTTCCACAGGAACATAGGGCCGATCTCGACCTCCATCCTTCAACCCGTCACCAGAAAGACCTTATAACTGTATGGAGGTTTTGTACTAGGGTCATGTTGTTGATGTTAACGATGATGTATTTCACTTTCAAGTTACTTCTACATGTGTTTGAAAATATCAGAACTGAGATACTCAACCGCAAACACTCAAGGTTACTTACAAAATAAAAGGGAGTTCGCATCAATCATCGTCTTTGTTATTGATCTGGATGGGAGTTTAATTCGTACCTGCCATGTTCTCTTCTAGTTTGCTGAAAATTGAGTGCATTTCAGAAGCCACGTAGGAACACAAAAGTTGTACAAAGGACCATAAATGAATGGAAAGGTGCAATCTAAACTGCAGTGAAGACCTAATTTCTTTCTGAAAGAATTTTATCGACAATCTCATTTTAAAATAATTCTTCTGTTCAATTAATTTTTTGTGAGAAAATAAAATCCTTGCCGTATCTGTGCGGCCTCATTGCGAATTTGTTTTCAGCATGCAATGCTGAATGTAAAGTGTTTCTGTTGAATTAATTCACTGGCCTGAGTGCCCACTGATTTTTCGGCAAACTACAAGTCAAATATTACAATTGCCATTGCAATCAGAATCAATAAAAAAGTTTGTTCACACCTTTTGATTGATCATCTCAGATAATGAGATCGTGTGTAAATTAGTTTCACTCGCATTTCTCACTCGTGCGATTTTCAATGAGGCGTGTTTGAATTGATCGATTTGCTCAATGGGGTGTCGTGGACGACTGCACTTCGCATTTCTCCCAGATTGCCCATGTAGGTGTAGAGACAGCTCGAGTAACCGTGGTGAGTCATTACAAGGATCCTCTCCTCTTCGTTCACCTCCATGTGGTAAAATGCAAACGATTGTGTCACTGTCTAGGAATCCTTGGTTCACATCCAGTCCTGTTGGTTTACAATCATGTTTTCTTTTGTGCGACATGTTTGTTTCTATTACAGCGGGGCAGCCATCGCTCAGACTCTGGCCTATTTCTTCCAAGATGTCTGCTTTCTCTGCTATATTGCATTTTCCAAGAAAATAATCAAGCCATTCTCAAGTGAGCCCTCTCGTTTTTCTAAAATTTCACTATGGACACCGAAAATAGTGCTATTTTAGTGATTCCTACATGGATATTACTTAAGAATGATCTGCAAATCTTGCTAACGTAAAGGGAAACACGGGACAGAACAGAATAAGAGGTCATCTGGTGGCTGTGCTTGTCAGTCTAATGCCTTCTACCACAATGGATCACCATAAGTTCTCGTTTGATTTCGTCAGTCTCCCACGACATAGGTGGGCACACGTGGACAAAAGCTAACATAATGAGTTTTCTAGAGCATTTTTCGTCGTGCTATGCAGTTTTGTGAGCTTCACATTGCGTTTTAGTCCAAAACAATCTCATGCACATATATTGCTAAGGTTCGCAGTTATACAATTTTTATTGCGTTTTTGGTCAAGATAAATATAAAGAGCCAATCAAAGTATTTGTCTGCGGTTATTCAAAGGCCAGTTCATTAATTCACACCGAGTTAAGTGGTTTCCGTCGAAGGTTTCCAAGCTGATGTGAAAAGAGTGCAACTGTCATGTATAGCTGCGCAGTCCTGATAAGGTAAGGGTGCTCACAGAGAGCCATTGCATTAGCTTACTTCAGCAAGGCCCTCAAGATCGGTGCAGTTTGTGACACATGCAAGATTATACAGCGGATCAGTTGCCCGTGGTTGAGGAACACAACCACGTTGATCAGTAATGGTCTTAGGACGTCGAAGAATTTTCAGGAACCTTATAGGTAGTGTATTACGTTTATGGTCTGCGTATCGCTAGAGTATCATTGATAATGATGTACTCACTCTTTTTGATGATGGATAATTGGATAAGCTTTCTCGCGTTGACAAACTGAGCGTATGATTGTTTCTACACCAGCTCTTGTTACGTCATCCTTCGTCATGTTCGAAGAGAGTCCAATTAACCAGTTCATCACATTTTTTAAAGTTGGGGTGCTAGAAAACTCATAAGTCCTACTAGTTTATGGGTGCAAAATTCGAAACAAATTGCTACAAAAGGAAGAGAATATAAGAATGGCATAACTTCAAATTTTGAATCCATTTATCTCGGATTCTAATTCTTCGGTTGAAATAATCGGAAAATCAGTATTTTGTTATTACTGTTGTATCAAAAAGTGTTGCTCTCACGGCAAAGTTAACAGCTCCGGAATCTGCATTCTGAGGTCAATTACAGCCCAAAATGTTCTGGTTGAATGATCAATCACACATCCGTGGATTAGGCGTGACGTCACTGTGTCCTTTCTGTCTACGGAATTTAATTAACCGTTTGGAATAGATGATTGGACACAGATTCTCACGTGCTTTGGTCTGTATGACACTGGGCGAAGGGACGAATTAAGCACGTAACTTCAAACTGATGCTCGGGTGTGGAAAGCCTTTGTTAGCAGACATGAAAAGTGCCAGGTAAACTACAATGATTGGGAACACGTGGGGATTAGAAAATTTAGGAACAGTTGTGAGGAAAATGAGAGTGACTGGTTTACTTTACTTCGACTTAGCTATTCACTGTATGATTATGCGTCGCCGTTTTCTCTAGCGCCACGACTCTCAACTAGTATAGCAAGGCAGTTGATTGAATCGCGCTCGCATAAATACAATGGTTTGTGTCTTCCGCAAACACTGAAAGCGCATGCATTCACCATCGTCATTATCAATGTTATAGCAGGTAGCCTTCGTAAGAACGCACGTTTTTTGACGCGAAAACAGACCTGCTTATGTTGATGCAAGAGCTGAGAAGAAGGCCTCGAAGACATTCACGACGATGTTCGGTTTGTTGTTGTGAATTAGTCCCAGACCACTGACTGCTAACCTCTGCGGTCGGTATGACCTTGAGCTCCATAAAGTTGATCCCCATAGACCAGTGAATGGAAACTTTTATCTTCTCAGTATTTATAGTATACACCAGTGGACTTTTACAAATGTAAAATGCAATTGTTGGGGACGCAGCTTCATCAGGTAACGGTCTTTTTCGTGCCATGGTACACCTCCCAGCTGTGTGGAACGCCATTCTAACGAGTCATGACATCATCTTTGGCTTGGACTTCCGGATTGATAATCAGGTCGAGATATCTGCACTGGCAGTCACTCTCCAGGGTCGCTCGATTATTCTGGGGTGGAAAAAAACGGATTCAATGAGCATGATTGGGATGGGATGAAGAAACAAGTATCCCGGACGGATTTTCAGAAATCTACATTCGGAGATGTGTTCCAAGCGGCACGATATGCTACTGATTGCTACGCGCTTTCAAGAACACAATACGGAGGGTTGAAAAACGAATATAAGAGAATCGGATAATAAATAGCCATTAGGTTGAGGTCAACACCGATTCCGGTTGAGTGGCAGACCGAAACTTGCATTTTCGAAAAAATACGACCCGCCGTTTTTAAAACCCACTACGTTAATTTAGCGGCTGGTTTCAACGCTTGCTGAAAAACTGGAGGATAACATACCCCACCGAGAGCGTTCAAAGTGACTTTGGGCTGCACTCAAACAGTGGTATAGCGTTCAGCTTGCTCATCATACTGTGAAAAACAGGTGTGTAGTAGTAAATTACAGCGGAGAAGACCGGCATTCCACAAGAAGTCAAAATACACCTAGCAGTAGAGCGCCTTCGGAAAGTTTATACACGCATTTATTCCACTCGTAAAAGACTCACCGCTTGCCTCGGTTCGGATAATCGTGAGAGAAGAGCAACAACAACCGCTTACGAGCCAAGCACAAAGTAACACGTGCCTGACACATAACGGGTGTAAATCCCCGGTTCTTCTTTTGTCATTAATGTTTAAAGTATGAAGTACACTTGAAGTGCGCATTCGATTAATGGGAGTCTGCCAGTTTTTTTTCTCCGGCTTTGGGGATGGCTCATCAAGCTGACGAGTTTTTTAAACTGGCTGTTTTCTGCACATGACAACCCGTGACCGCAATCGGTATGCTGAAGAAGGCATCTGTAAGCCTACGTTCTACTCGCCCCATGTGAAAAGCATTTACTGTGGAGAGGTGGACCCTCACGAGAAACCTTATGTTCTCATCCCTTTGTTCGTATTGTCAAAGGGTGGTGAGATTGGTCGTATTTACTTCACAAATATTCCATCTATGTAGTAAAAATGAAAATACCTGCTTGCTGAATTATTCTGATAAGTAGAACTTATGGAAAGGTTCTCCTATCTTCTTGAGGTGCTGTATTTCAATCGCGAACTCTGTTTGTCTTTTTAGATTGGTCAATGGAGTTTATCCAGAACTGGGGTGGATGGTTTCGACTGGCTATTCCCGGACTAATCATGGTCTCATTGGAATGGACATTATTCGAAATTGGTGGAATCGTTGCAGGTAATCTGTTGTGTTCAATGCATGCATATTTGTTACATATGGGAGCGATTCGATCCTCAGGAGCATAAAACAACGAGTAGGTCAGGTTTTACTGCTTTCGTTTTATATTTTACGAAATGTGGCTCTGCAGCTCTGCTCGGGATAAGCGTACGAAAAAAAATCCTGGACCGATACACAAGATGGTGTTGGTCAATTTTACCGTTTCAGCCAAACAAATTCCAACCTGGATAACAATTTGTGGCTGACTAACACTCCTTTCTAACATTCTATCGATCGATCAACATGCGCGCCATTTTAGCAGCGCAAATAAGTCGTTGAATATGCACCCAGGATGCATGTGTGGCTATTTTTTGTGACTGAAGCACACCTGTTTTTAATGTCTTTCCGATGCGGATAATCTAAACTGTTTTAAATTCACATTCTAGACAGATCCACATGGGAACAACGATGTTGCTCGGTCATCAAATAATTGTAAAAAAAAACCAGTTTGAAATCTTTTGTCAGGTGATAGTCATACGGCTCCATGTACTCGTATTCTGGGAAAGATCCGTATATTAGCTCTGTAGCAGTCAAACGTAACTTTATAACGTATCCTCTCCAGTACGACCTTGTAACCTTGCGCGTGCATATCAGAAGGTCATTTCTCCGACCCCCTCTAATGCAACCTCATTTTCCTGCACAGATCTTTCACCGAAAAAGTGAAGAAAACAAGCTTTTTGAACGTCTGGTTTCTTGAGAGGGTGAGGTCATATATATGCATAAATTCCTGACAGGTTCACAATTGAAATTGCACACAAAACGATCATGGTTAAGTTGGAAAACCGAATGTTGATTACGCGGATAGTATGTGCAGCAAATTGTCGCACGGTGACATACCCATGAATGTGAAGTCTTTGAACATCACAGGAATTTTCTCTACCCTGTCCGAATTTTATGACTTAGAATAAGCGAAAGCTGTTTTAGCAGTGACAGGATGTTCGCTCCCTTGTACGAGTTGGAATTTCTCCCCTTAGATTGGTACATCTTTCGAATTGGGACATAGAAGTAAGGCCAAACCAGCAGTGAAAAAATCGATCGACCTGGAGTTTTTGCATAATCTATCAAGCCCTGGGTCCGAAATGGTTTTGCCTGAGTCTTCGGGGGTATATTATCAGAGGTGTTCTTTCTGGCCAGTTCGAAATAGCTCAGGAGCTCAAGGAAGCTCAGTGGTTCGGGCTCAAACTTACTGACCAGAAGGTCCATGGTTCGAACCCAACCGCAGCGTCTCGACTGATCCTGCTCAGGCTTTAGACACTTGGCAGCAATGCGCCGAAAATGTGCCGCAGCTCAGGGGACTGGTTAGCAGCAACGACCTATTCGTAATAGCTCAGTGCCACTGAATTACCAGTAGTGTGCTCACTCTTGTTTTTCCTGGAGCGCCGCCAAAATAGCCTCAGGTTGGGTGAATTAAACCATAATATTGAGCTTTACTGATCTTTAAAATGCAGAACTAGCAGAAATACCTTTTATCGGATCGAACGCTTTCAACCTGTTGATAATGTTCAATTGAGAGTTCATCCTGTTAGAGGAAAAAACACTGTAATCTGTTTCAGCTTTATTGAAAAAACAGCAGGGCACGTTTCACAACACTCAGAGTGTTTCGAACTCGTGGCCTACTGGCCGGTGTTTGAACACTTTCCCGTTTGGCCACAGATGGCTGATCAGCAGTGTGACCTCTCGGACAAGACATACCGCCATTCATCTTTCCATAACGGAAACCACATCACGTGGTCACATGTTGACTGGCTCCTCGAGTGTTGAATTCTTGTGCAATTAAGCTTCTCTCAATCAACTTATAGATTGATGGCATCTATTTAAGATCTTTTGTGGAGTCAAGTACTTATGTGTAGTACGGGTGGCAGCTGTCAAACGGGTGATCGAGCATCCATGTGTGTGAGTACCGCTTAACACGAGCCAATCTGCAGGAATTTCAGACTGATATATGTGACAGCTACAACGTTGGTAGCGCTGTCACGAACTTCGTCACAGATGACTCAGAATGTGAAACTGAGAACTCTTCGTTCAAGATTTACTTTGTCTGCTCTGGAAAAAGCAATTCTTTGGGCTGACCTCCGGACTGATCAATAAGAAGTACAGTTTGAGATCGCGCTGATATTAAACACATCAGTGTATAACCACGTTCAGTGATATATGATAGAGGTTCTCGAATATCATTTTCTGTAAATTATTTGATAAGTACTTTGCCCTATTCCTGTTCCTCTTCCCGTTCTCTCTCATCCTTGTCCTTGCAAACTAAGGAGCAATGAGGCCAGAAATATTGGTTTCCTTCTCTGAGGGTTCTTTTCTCGCGAATTTCTTTCTCAAAAGTCCAAGAATACCCTAATTTCTAGGATAGTTGCGCGTGGGTAATCCCGCCTCCTGATGGTTGTCGGTTCGAAATCGTTCTAAAGCCACCTGACGTGATTTTTAATCTTTATGTCCAAAGCGTTACAGAAGGACTACCACAATATGACCAACTCTTCTTGTCGGTTAACGTGACCATTAAAAATGCTGCATGGAAAAAAGTCAGTGGCAATTTCTCATTTTTGAACTGAATGAATGATTAAAATTTAAATCTAAGGCAGTCGTTTAAAAACATAAATCCTACGAATTAATCCGTTCGTGAATCTCCCGCTAACAATCGGTGTACAAGCTGAGTGGACCGGTTTCTAACTCTGATGAGAAACACAGCGCCTTTCTGGCAGACACTCTGTTGAAAAATGCGTATTCTGAACCGGTGGTGTTAGAAGTTCCTCATCGGTTAAGAAGTATCTTTGCTGGTTTTCCTTCCTCAATCTACGTTACGTAATGCAATGATACGCTGGGCGTCAGACAAATGGAACATTGCATAACGACGTACCGTCACGCGACCACGCGCGGACGATCTCGCCTGAGCTGATCACGAAAATATCAAAATGAAACTACGAATATCGTCGATCAAGCCGACAGTTGGTTACACTACCCGGACTACAAATATCGTCTTGCATATGTTGTGCAGCTTTAACATCACTGGACATCATGCGCCATCTAGATCAACTTCACTGATGATAACTCAAAGTTCACGGTTTTATTTTACTGACAAAATCGCGTACCTCTAAACAGTGAATCTATCAACAACGGAATGTGTGATATTATCCCAATTCAGTATTAATGTCCTAGCGAAACTTTGATTGTCAAGAGCGGGAAACATGATTCACTTGCCTATTTTTCTTGTTCTCATATAAATCGATGAGCGGGATTTTTAGTTATATTAGCCTAGGTGGATGCTGAACTGTATACGATTTAAAGTGTCAAGGCATGAAGTGCAGCAGCACGTTACTAGTTCATCATTAAGCCATTACACGAGACAGGTATCCAGATCGGAAGTAAGGTTTGGTGTAAACACATGGAACATGTTTGTGACAAGCAACTGAATGTGCTTCACCAGGCCGCCTCATGTTTCAGTCGCTACGATATTCGATATATCGCGATACATGTATATCTTTGTAATGTACTACTCATCACAAACGAGATATTCAGCTGGGTTCAAGGCGAGTTTCTCGAAAAACCAAAAATTAGTTTGCAAATGAGTGTATATTCGCTAATTTCGTGAAATTTGGTTTCAAGTAGAACATAAAGTTGACGGAAATCCGGGGACTGCGCCTATCTGATGAGCTCCAAAAAAGGCTAAACCGGTCATTAGCTGTCGATGGATTTTCGGCAACCTTATGAGTAGTACATTACAAAAGCCTTGTGTTATTTTCTCTACAGTAGCTGGAATAAAAGCGCTCTCCTATTATTCCCGGTTGTGTTTCTTAGGCCGTTAAAACGGTTGAACGACAATTGTCAAACGGCTGGGTAACTGTCGGCCAAAAGTTAATTAACTTTGTGCTTGGCTGAAGTGAGAGACAATACCGACGGTATTTGTTAAGCTTGATTATGTCTGTTAACAGAAGACTGTTGTGTGACCAGGGAATAAAGGAGAACTGAATGTGCGACACTAATGAGTGTCTGTCAGTCTTAGGTTATTGCATAGCAAATTAGAAGACGGGAAGAATCCTGTCATTGACACTGAAAAAAATTGGGTGGTAGTCAACATAAATCTGTTTTTCATCTCATGTATTGGCGTTGTCGAATAGGCCCCCGCTCACACCGAAATGGGTTGTTACGTAGTTTCGGAAATACCTGGAACCCGAACCGTAGAAGTTGAATAATTTTAAAACTGCTCGCTCTAGCAACTGTCCTAAAAAGTGGATGTTTCCCTGACAGATTATGTGGAAACCTTTTAATTTTTGATGCTAAGGGTGTGCCTTCGTGTATGTATTTCAGGCACACTGGGTGAGAGGGAACTTGCAGTTCAGACGGTACTCATCAGTCTGGATTCGATTAGCTACAGTCTGGTGAGTTGATAACTTCCAAAGTAATTTGGATTGTTTATACCTTTTGTAATATTGCGCCCATGGGGCCAAGTGAAACTCGTATCCTACAATTCGTTGCAGCTTCCTTATGGATTTGGAACGGCCACAGGTATCAGAGTGGGACAGTATCTCGGAGGACAAGAGCCACGTGGTCCGCGTTCATGCTTATCAGTGGCACTACTTGTCTTGTGTAAGTAACCTCCAAAGTGATACTTCATTCGGGATTTCTGCGATGCGAATCTAAATTATTCTTTTCCCTTGCTTTAATCCAGGGGTGATTTCACCGTTTTACTATGGCATTTCAGTAGCTCTTCGGTGGTACATTCCTCTGATATTCAGCAGAAATCCGTAAGTTCCTTTCCTCATCGTAGCTGATCACTCACATCACATATTGTTCAACGCCAATAGTCAAGACATATATCATATTCAGGACGAATACGTCTCATTTGCTACACTAATTTTATCTACTATAAGACTAGTGCCCTGTGTGACGGGATCAGTTAGCTGCCGTAGCGCAAATTCCTTTCCTCAGTTTCACAGGCCATCCTCAAAGACAGATTTGGTGGTACTTAAACACCATCGAGCTGCTCTGTCACCCTTCTTTATTGCAATTCAGGCTATTAGACATCAGCATTTGTGAACTTCCGGTCCTGAGGCAAGTCCAGATTCATACATAGAAGCTGAACGTGTTATTCGTGAGCTTCAGATATATGGAGCAACTATAGTCAGATATCGTCTGTGTAGCAGATGGTAACTTAACAGTTTCCGTCAATAAATGGTGATACAATAGTGACTGTTATCGACAGTGACCGCTTTGCGGGAATATCACAGTACAACGTGGTGTCTAATTAAAAAATGTGGCTGACTTGGAGTCGAGAACTAGGCCTACTTGGTGAACCGCAAAGGCTAGGGGGTGGGGCGAAAGTGGGTTGTCCGGAGGTGTGCTCGAACTTGTGCACCGATATTCTGAACACCTTTGTGAACAAACATGAAGCAGCCTTTGCGCAACACAGTCCGTTGGAGCACACTGAAAGGAGTGTTTCAGGAGAATTCAAGCGCAGCCTCCGTCAACATCAAATCAACTTAAAATTAGTGTCCTCTATGACCTACATCTACCTCTTTTGAAGGCATCATTTTTCCCAATAAATGAAAACAACGTATTCTGGAAATGCTAGGTACGTGTCCAGTCGTATATATAGTCCATATCTTCTCGTTTTAGAACACTCACCGATTTGATTATGTATAGGCGGGCGACGAACGTCCTCAAGCAAAGTACTGGGCTAACTCAGCGACTGACTGGCTAGCGAATAGATTGAGAACATCTCCGTTCCTGTGAATGAACTCTGCGGAAAAAATGTTGGAAGCAAGTTACCGAAAAGCTGGGAGCTTCAAACAAGTTCCAAAGTTTGTATAATCAAGGAAGAAAGTTTAGTTTGGACATCACACAACAAGAAATCGTCCCGTTCGTTCCAGCGCAACTTCAGGTTCATCGTGGACGGTCATTGGTTGTCATTGGTGCAGAAAAGTGTCAGCCGTTTTCTAGAGGCTTCACGAAGAGTTTAAATGCGTTCGCTCTTGTGTGTAGTTTGTGTGAAGCTTTGTGTGAAGTTTTTACAAATCAGTCAAATGGCTGTGTAAAAGGTGACTGGATTGCCCAGCTTTCCGAACGACAACCCAGGAACTACACTGGGTATTTCGATTGGCTGAGGCCCTGTTACGGATTTCACACCGGGTAGCATTGACAGTTTCTGAAGACTGATAGAGAATTTTTGAATAATTATGGGCGCTTTCAGCATATGAACAGTGACTGTTGGATTCAAATTGGCATAGTGTGGGAGTATTAAAAAAAGTCACTTCCATGCTACCGAAAGTCACGGCATTTGTTTTTGTGCCAAAAATGTACTAACAGCAAACTACGTGGCCGGTATTCATTAAATCTGTCCCTCTTTTTTTAAAAGTGATGTGATTGCTATGGTAGCTGAACTTCTACCGGTCGCTGCAATATTCCAAATATTGGATGCCGCCAACGTAAGTCGTCCTCTGTCAGTTCACTGTAATTCTCTGCACAATCAATTGGTTTGTTCCGCTAGGTTTGTACTCATAAAGCGTGAAGACTATAAAACAATTCACATTTTTATTGAATCGATTGAGGGTGATTTCACATCCGGAGATGTCCATTGTCAGTCATTCTTCAAATTCTCCGCTTCTGTACAAAAAATCGTTCAGCTATAACACCCTTTCGGTACCCAGCTGCCATGCCACCCGAATGAAGCACGAGGGCCGAGATACTACCAGGTTGCTCAAGCCTCGACAGGGAAAGTCGAGCGGCAGATGTCGGATTTGAATCACGGACCTTTCGGTCAGTAAATTCGAGCTCTAACAAATGAGCGCTCTCGCTCATGTTTCTGTATATATCTATCTCATTCACTAGGCAATAGGGCTGAAGTGACTAGAGGTGAATTGACCACGGTGAAAAAAAATGTTGGAAGTTGGCGTTAATGTCCATTCCATATAAATGTAGCACACGGAAAAAATAATTGACGAAATGAAACTGGAATTTTCCGTTCCTTGTGTTGTTTAATAATGCACTTATCTTCGCTGGTGTCGGTTCTGAAACAGTCACACTTGCACATAACGCTGGCGGATCTGTTCCTCAATGAATATCCATAACACCCGCTAAACTTTGCTAAACCATGATCGATGACCCATTTTACTTTTGACGGCTAATCGCCATGTGCTCACCAAGTTGTGCACCACTAAATGGATAGACGGCTGACAGGAGAGTCAGGTTCATGGATTCGCTCCCAATAGGTACCAATGCAAAAAAGTATGATATGATCTTCAGGAAGTCAGATCTCAACCAACGATTGAATAGCTGGTGACACAGACAGTGGTTCGGACTGATGTTCAGAAAATGGCACTTTTGGAAAGCCTAAGCTAGATGGTTCTTACATGATCGCACGTTTATCTTCCATATGGGCTATGTTTTACGCCCGACGGAATAAAGATTTTCCTAAGCCCAATTCCAACGTCAATTTCTCCTAAGGCTGTACATGAAGTTTTCGCACCTGTATACACTGATAACATGTTCCACATAATCGTCAAGATAAAAAATCTTGATGATAAATAGGGCCCATGGTGATGACAAACGTTTCCAAACTAACTCTCAGGTATGGGCTTAAGAAATGTCCAGATGGATCCAACTTACGGTGCTGGACGGATGAGAGCGAATTTGTTGAATACGTCCACGGTGTTTCACAGTCAGCTGTTGAGAAATATCACACCGTAGCCCTTCGAAGGCTGCAATATCAATGGACATGTTTTTGTGTCCTTTTTGGGATCAGTTAGAAGTTAGGTGGATGAAAAAAGTCCTACCTGAGGCCTTAATGAAGACATCATTCTATCAGTCCAAATGTTAGCGTATTTGAAGCCGGGCAGCCAGCCGGATTTGACGATTCCTTGCTTAGTTACGGTTCAATTTGCTGGTCAAGAAGGCTAACTGACAACCGGAAACACAACTAAAGGTAGATCCTAATAATGTGAACTGATGATAAGCCTCTGGTTGAACAGCCGCGTTGACAGCCCTGTTACTAATTTCTCATCAGGTCTGCTGTCAATGCAAATACGAATGTGTGCCCGGTGAACTGCCACCAGTTTGACGGACAGCGGAAGGTCAGGACAGGAAGGTCACTGTAACGGCAGCCATTTACGAATATAAGAAATTAGTCTCGTTCCCTGCTACAATAAGAAAAGCAGAAATCAGCGTTTGTTAGTCTCGTTGGCTATTTTTTTTACTCAGGAAGGAAGTTTATCAAACCTACGCTCTGTTCCCTCAGACTATCGTTTCCTACTACTCCTGAGTAAACGTGGTTGTTGTAGGAACGGGTGATCCTTTAGTCACCAGTTGTTTGGGGAATCCGGAGAAATCAGTCTAAGTGAACGGTACAGCGAGATGTTGTTCAGTGAGAACAAAGCATGTGTGTCAAATTAGTTGTGGTCAGGTGTGTTTATCAAGTTAACGGTCAGTTAAGGTGTGTAGCATTTTATTCGACAAATTTGACTACCACTAAACATTTGGATATCGTTGTTTAGCATACAGACCCTTGTTAAACGGGGGCTTTAATTTTGATCACGAATGTTTCTTTTCTATGGTCCATCTAGGGTGTCTGTGGCGGAGTGCTACGAGGGGCCGGTTTACAGCACATTGGGGCACTAATCAACTTTTTCAGTCTCTATCTAATCGGAGGACCACTTGGAATGTGTTTGGTTTACTTGGCGAAATATAACATTGAGGGTAAGTTTCAATTATTGAGACTTTATGTTTAACTCACCTAAAAGAAAATGTCTGTCTGGAGGCTAACATTTAAGGCTAACTTTTGGTGACAAAGTGAAGTGTGTGATTCTCGTCCGCAGTTTCTCACCTTACCTCGCACACTAGAAAAAAGCTCAGGAAATGAAACGCTTAGCTTAAAATTAGTATCTATATATGTATACGAACCTAAGAGCTACCAGCTTGTCATACTGGGACTGTCATACTTCGGGGGAACACGGTGCTTTGCTGAATGGAACTCAGTTCTTTAAGTTTTGGCGATGTCAGATAGATCAACGGGAAATAGTCCGACGAAGAGAAGGGTTTGGTGCTGTAAAACGCACTAAAAGGTTTTCTGAGGGCACAATCGTACTGTCTTCTGCTATCTCAATGGGAAAAATAGGGTGTTTCCTTCAGGCAACCACCGTTTCCATAATCATTGAAGAGGCAACCCTACGTCCTTCGACCTGTTAGAAAGCCGCACATTCCAATCGCCCAACGATTGCCACGACCACCGACGCATTATCCTGAATGGACGGACTACTTTGAATCAAAAGGGATTAACTTCCTATAGTAGCATTAGGAATCGAACTTCCCTGCTTATATGTTCTGGTTTTGTCCACAATGCTTTGTGGGTCAGGCTTCAAAGTCCAAGGCTGGGGATCCTGTGCGACAAACAAACCCTCATTTCCGAGCCCAGAAGTCAAGACCTTAACAAAAAGGACACGATGTGTCCGTATGAAGTGAAACCCAGTAATTTTTCCGGTAAGCACGGAAGAGACACCTGAAAGGTGAGCTATCATTGTTTCAAGTGAGCTCATATGCTACAGAATAGACCCAGTTGGTTCGTAAAGGAAAGGTGTGGAAGGATGGCTCCAACCGTATCTTTTACTGGAGTGTAGTAGCACAAGAAATCCAGCTTGAAGACGGTGTTGGTGTAGTTTTCCCGCAGAAGGTATGAATCGGTGTAGACATCTGCTCCAGAATGATGGCCGTCTCAATGCAGGTTTCGAAGGCCCTAATTATCAGTGGCTGTGGACAGGTGATGTCACACTCAGGGGAATACGAAAACGGGCTGAGCTTCAAGTGAACTCTTCTCTATTGAAAGATTTCGGTATTGCAGTAGGAAATTTGAAAAAAGATACCGAATCTGCTTGGAAGTGAATCGACAGGTGGCAACTCTAGAGTACAAATGCTGGTGAGTATACTCAACAGCGTACTCAAGACGCCTCCACAAATGTTGAAGGAACTTCTTCAAGTCAGCTGCCAAGCTCGATGAGACAGCAACTGAACTGTCAAATAAACTCAATTCAGTCGTCCAGCTGATTTATCAAGTAGCGTTCAATCGCTCGAAGATCATTGGCGAAAAGTACTTGAAGCAGCAAAGGCCATCAATTATCAAGTGAGGCACGTGAAGGTCTGGACTTTACTACATCGACTTTACTACCAAAGGGACTCACAGACACTGGAAGGCCACTTACTCCTGCGTTTCATTGTGTTGTCAACTCTTAGCACTCTGTACAGTTGCACTCGTCTGAGTGGATTTCATCACACGCACTGCTTTTAGAGTCGTTTTCTGATCTTAATTGGGTCCCATTAATAGAATAAAAATAAGTCAAAAACATGGCGAGATTGGTTAAATGAGTGTGCTTCCTCCATGTCCACTTTGACTCAGTAGGACAACTGAGCGCCCATAGAAACCGCCGAAGACCCGACAAATAAAGCGGCTCAGAAGCAAGTGCCGGGACCAGGCTTTCGAAAACACAAGAAGTTGGAAAACACAGTGAACAGGCAAACAAAGAAAGCGAAGCATCCTAGTCGCCCTTATCAACGCTGTTACAAAAGATCTTTTGTGACCGGAACGAAACTCCAGTATCTGAGAAAAAAACCGACGAAACAATGGAAACAAAATAACTCTGTTGACTTGAATAAACCGCTTTAGCACTACCTAACGGGTCAGAAAATGTAGAATTTAGCTCCACATCCCTCCAACCTAAACATAAAACGAGGATCTATTTGGTTGATTTATCTACAACCACAAGACCGTTTACTGCCATAAACCATCTTCAGAATGGGAAAGCAGTGAGAATGGACAACTTACAGACGAAAGTCTTCTGACTGAGAGAACTTTTACTGCAGAGAAAAACTTTTCTACCTGCAGTGCGCATTTTCGGAATTGGGTAACGTTAAGCAAGATTTTAACGATGTGGCAGCGCCTCCTTCTTTTAAAGAGAAAAGAAGTCAAAAGAAGATGGAGACCTAAGGCGAAGCAGCCTACCATGCACAACCGTCAAGAATATGCCTCGTATTTTGCTAGGCTGAGAAGTCGCTCATACTGTGGAATGAAGCTTTCCTTCAGAGCAGTGTAGATTTTGAAGCGGTCGGAATACGGTTGACCAAACTTTGGTCAAGTGGTTGTGCAGTCTTCAGTACCATTCGTTAGCTTGATATGGAGGCTATATGGACAAGCTTTTCGTGTTCTCAGCGGAAATCACTTGCAGTGTCTGCCAGAAATGCTTTGGAGCTGACGGCATGACAGAATGTTCAACGGCAGAGTCTTACAAAGTGCAAAAACATCGTTAGATTTGAATCTGGTCTGATGTGAAACCAACTCTATTGGTTGAGCCACCTAGCCAAACCTCGCGTCCAAATACGTGTCTACAGTCAACTGAAGAATAGAAATAGAAATAGTGGATGCCCGAAGCAGACCTCACGCAAGTCCCAAAATCTGAAAATTTCAGTTCAGATCAGGCGGGGTTCTGACACTCAACAGAACGGCCTTGACATCCGCTAAACAAGCGATTGTTCGGAGTCTTGGGATGAGCAAAGCAAGCCATTAGGGAGTGATTGAATCTGCCTAATGCAAACTTGTGTAGTATGCGGGGCCTATGTGCCTTTGGCCCTATTGGTTAAGAGCGTACCAACCGGTCCACTTGCTAAACATAGCCACTTTGAACCGATGTAACCTTCTTTCTTTTCTCATGACTGCCCGACATTATCATCCTAAGTGTGATAGGGATCAGTGAAATCATCATCATCGACAGCATGACATCAGCGTTCAACACCGATACTTCACTGCCGTAATGGTTGTACGATGGCTGGAATACTGCCAGGGCGCCCACACCTCTCAGGAGGACGACTACGGTCCTCAACCAAAGCCTTTGACTCAAAAGCCTAACCGCAAGGCAGCGGGGTTTGGCGGGGAATGCAAGTGCATCACCATCTCTGCGGAACAAGTCGCCACCTGTTCCAACCTCCAACCTGGAGGGTCAGGAGACTGTTTTCGTCAGACCACCAACTATTGACCAACCTGGTATGAAAGGCTCTGTGAGTGTCGCGGGGACACTCCCCAGTATACCTCAATGGGTGGTGAGGTGCGCAAACCGTCACACCACGGCAAAGTCCAGTCTCTTTGTGACAGTGAAATACCGCCAGGTTATCTACTACCAACTTGCCTGTGTGTTTGTGAGCGGCTCCCGATAACACGTGCATAATGCTACACTAAGGAGGAGGGGTATAAAACTGAACCAAGAAGGACTAAAATATGACGACGGGAACTGAGTTACAAACACGTGACTGTTACTAGTGCCGAGTGTTAGGCCACCAAGTTCGGGATGACTGATTGCTTGTACCTTGATTTGCCTATCTTAATCTCTCAGGTATCGGCACCAGAGGCTCGTGCGAGACACCATATGCGGTTCAACGCAAACCACTTGTGGCCTCCATCTGCATACAGGCGTCTAGTGTCTTGGCTGTCGTTGACCAGCGAACACTATTCGGATGCCAGTCATACATATATTTGAAAAAGTTTCAGATGACACTAGAAAACCGGGACAAACTCATGCATACTCAGACTTCGGGTTGTACTTTAAAAATTCTTCGTACCTGCGAGTGCATGATCAGTTGTGTGATGGAACTAGGGCGCTATTAATAAACCAGGAGAATTTAAACAGATCGAACGAGTTCAGCGAATAGAAGCTTGTGGAAGTTCTCTTGCAAATGCACAGAGATTAAGGTACCTTGATTTAGTGAAATGAGGCCTAACAGGTTTTTCCATTTTGATTTCCCTTAATTGGCTCGGAAGCGATAATGATGCGACTAGCGACTATTGAAGTGGCACACCAATTCTGGTCCAACCTTGACAACCAGGAAGTAACCAAAGTTTAGGGTGAAATGCACTGTGCTCAGTTGCCCTAGGAATCGTCTGCACTTAAATAGATGCAACAAAATTGCGAGCACAAACGCGCACGACCAAACTTTACTTTAAGTCTCACTTTTCTCAAAGCGTAACGTCAAGGGAACCTTTGTTCACTATACTCAGCATATCTACCTGGTATGTATTGCAAGATGTCAGAACACGTCTAAAATCTCAGTGGATAAGCGTACTAGGATGGGAATTACAGCTGCGCGGTACAGCAACACAATATACTCCACATGACTTCGCAGCTCTCAAAGGTTGGCCCCGGTTTGAAACCTGTGTTCATGACGTTTCCTCAGCTTTGGAATTGTAGCATTCCCAAACTAATGGGTCGGCATTACGTTCTTGAGAAATCGGTAGAAATATGCATACGTACTGATATTAGTAAGTATTCGTTTGTGTATTGAGAACCGTCTACTAATACGGTTGAGTGTGGTACGAAACTTGCACAACAGATCAGCACACAGGGCCTTTCTACAACACTAGCAGTGGATGAATGGCTGACTGAGTGCTGGAAAAATTAATGCTGAAAATCTGATGTAAGTGAGTGGTAGAGAAATGTATGAACTTGGTGATGCTTTCAACTTTCCACTTCCACTTCCTCCCTCATGTACTTTCCTGGATTCTTTTTGCAGGAAATCAAATCATCCGGGTATTTGCGAAAAAAACTTAAACAACTTTAAAACGAAAGGCGTACTTGAGTGTGGCAGATTTTAACTCCTAAAGTTGTCATCCACAAGACATATGGATCCATTAGGTGCCAAATATACACCGAATGCATCCATTTAGACACTATTTCTGCTCATGGAGAAGGTTTTGATGAACTTGAGGCCTGGACTTTTTTGGTGGAGCTTTATGCCACGATGATTAGTTTTGAGTGCTATTCATNAGCTTTATGCCACGATGATTAGTTTTGAGCAACCGCATGAAGCCCAAACACAGCCTGATTCACAACTTACCACTGTTTAATCACCGTCATCACCATTATTATCAGTTGTAAGAACCGCGTGCTTGTCGTACAATTGTTGAGGCTGCCACAGTTTCATCCACTGATGATGTGAGGAGATGGCAGCGCATGGAAGGCGTGAGCTGATAAATTGGTGAATGAATACAGGTCTGTCAGAGGAATTTTAAGTGGGAGGATTGAGAAGAGTGCTATTCATTGGAGACAACAGCTTGGACGCATGAGCGCCACTGAGGGCGCGACTGGGCCAGGTATGACAATGTCTCTAACCTTTGATGTGGCTCGTCTCGGGGTCCCCCTCCAGCTGAGTTTGCTGGTAATGGCTTTCACAATTCACTGCTAACTCATTGTTTGGCCTCCCCCGTCTCGTTTCCGTCCTTCCCGTGGTTCTGCAAAAAGAATCGTTTGAGGAAGTCGCTCGACTGGCACATGGAGCATGTGGCGAAGCCAGTGCAACCTATGCAGTGTGATCATTTCATCTATCTTGGGTGAGTTATTTCTTCCGAATACCAATGCATTGCTGATCCGGCGTTCAGTCGAACAGTGTCCAGATAGATTGGGACATTGGCGCGCCACATTGGTATTACTGCCCCTGATGATGAATGAAAATATGGGAAATCGTCCGAAATAGAAGGACACTGTCATTCTGAATCTTGTAGATATTCATATTTGAGCGATGTTTTTTGTTGCCTCTTTCAGAACAGTGTAAATCACCGAATGTGAATACTAGCCACGGGGACGAGAGCAAGCTTAATGATGTTGAGGAGGACAGGTTCGATCATTTTGATGGGATCTGACCCCGTGGTAATTCAGACATCATTAAATAATTTAAAAAATTCTGCCTCACGGTTCGGCATGCGCTTCACACCTTCAACGTGTAAAGTGCTGCTGCAAGACTGGGTAGGCTCGAACCCTAGCCTCATGCTTGCGGATGAATCGATTGGGGTAGTGGACAAATTTGTTCACGTGGGCAGCTGTATCAGTCCCGGTGATCTCGTGCAAGATGGTATATTCATCTGGACTGGGAAGGCCAGGGGAGCTTTTGTGAACCTGCGTCACCTGTGGCGTGGGCGTGACATCAGCTTATCCGTCAAGAGTCGAGTTAACAATGCTGCAATGCGCTCCATATTACTATACAGACCAGAAACCTGACCGCTGCGCGCCGAGGACTTCAAAAGACTTTCAGTGTTTGGCCATCGATTTCTTCGGAGCATTGCCCAAACCTGGTGTGAACAGCGGATCAGTAATGCTAAAGTTCGTTTAATGGTATTCGGAAAAAATGAATCACTCAAGATAGATTAACTGATCAGACTGCGTATGCCAGTCGATTGACTTCCTCAAAGGGCTTTTTTCGCATAAACACTTGAAGGGTGGAAGAGAGCCAGAGGGGGTCAAACAATGACTTGGCAAGGAAGTATAAAATCCATTACCAGCAAACTCAACTGCGCTGGTCATTGCCGTCCTCCTGGATGGGAACCCCTAGGCGGGCCATATCAATGACTAGAGACATCGTCGGACATCACCCAGTCACGCCCTCAGTGGCGCTCAAGCATCATAGCGCCTTCAACCCATAGCCCCCTTCCCAATCCACTCAATAAAAATTGCTGTATTTACGCACCAATTTATTAGCTTCCACCTCCAATGCACAGCTATGTACCCCCCTCCCCAGATCATCGGTGAACGAAACTGTGGCAACTACAGCCATTGTACGACAGGTACGCGGTTATCACAGCTGACAAATGATGAGAATAAGAAGATTTTGATGGTGATTGTGAGGAAAGCGATTTTGGTGATGATAATGAATGGTGTTTACTAACAAATTGAACGTTGAAATACAAAAGGAAAATTTTGTATCGTAATAGTCCTACATAATTGGCCAGTCTATGAAATTATTTAAGGTCTGTTCGTTGTCTAATTCCATCAAATATTTTGTACTACAGGAATCTGGTTTGGATTGATCGCCGGCACAAGTCTACAAGTCACAATTCTACTCATTGTTTGTTTCCGTATGAACTGGCATAAACAAGTGGAACTGGTAAGTGAGTTATCGCGTGAACATTAATGTGTATGAATATCCACTTAACTCCAGTTTCAAATGTTCCAGGCTTGCCTAGACGGTACACTCTTCTCATAAGGTTGATAGCACATGACTGTTTTTTATCCTCCTTGGAACTCATCAGTGCAAACTGGTGTAATTCCGAGGTTCAACCTTGTTTTAGAACGCCTATCCAGCGTCGTCATCTCTGACAATAATACATCAGTAATGCATACAGGCGCCTGACTGCCAACCAGACGGCTTTGGTGAAGAACGGAAGGATAAGCGGAAGGCACTAGCTTGGCCCAAATAAGTCTCACGTTCCCTGGGAATGTGGCCAAGAATAATATACCTACTTCTTTGGACAGAATTAAAATGGACACATGCAAGCATCATATGGGAGTTAAACGCTACCATCTGGATCAGCCCAATGTCCTTCGCAAACCTCACCTGACATAATCCCGGGGCACAAGAACAGGCTGACTTTAACTAGGCAGTCCGGCTACGAACTTCGCTCCACCGGGACTAGTTGCCTGACATGTGCTGTAGAGTTTCCAACCACTTGCAAGCAGGATCAACTATGTCCCAACCAAGAAGGTGATCATCATTATCATCAAAGACAGCAACATCAGTGTTGGTACTGATGCTCCACTGACGTCTGGTAAGGTGAACTACACCGAAAATAAGTAGTATCACTAAAAAGTCTTGGAGATTCTAGGATCTAAGTTTTCTGAGCCTCCGAATAGTTTAACTTACTTTGATGTGTAATTGTCAGTAGATAAGAAGAGGGGATGGAAAATCGCACATCTCAATCTCTCAGCGATTTTATAATTTTAAAATCAAGTTTCTTGTATACTTTGTTTATTTCTATCCACCTTTTGCGAGCTTTTTGAAAAGTTCAACGGGTATTTTGTCTAAAAACTGATAAGAATATGAATTGTAACGTCAATATTTTTTATCCACGCCCTTCAATTTGCGTCACTTTCTGTTTTTCATAAACAAAACTTTTATCTAAAAGGGTATCATTAACATTTCATTTCGTCAGGCTATGTGATCGTGAATGGGGTTTTGAATTAGATTTTGTTTTTCTATGTCATGTCCCCTAGGGATAGTTTCATTTCGATGGGGCAAACTCATTTATGGGAGCGTTTGGCCCGGATCATTTTCCATTACACCCAATGTATTGTTATGAATTCTCATAGGATATCAGAAAGATTTAAAGGTATATTTTGGTGCGGCGGGATGAAAAACGCTACTGGGATGATTTTGGTTAAACGCACTGACGTCTGAGGCAAGCAAGTAAAATTTAAGTTCCCTTAGAAATGTAACCGAAACAGACAGTAGGATTAGCTTATTTTGGGGAGAGGTTCTGGATACCGGTTTGATCAAATCAGACCATTTATTTTCCCATATAAACTACAGAAGGAGTTTCGAACGTATGTCACAAACAACTGTCTGTGGTAGACCATACCACTAAAATAATCATTCTTAGGTGACCATTGGCAACGTTACCAATGTTCGTACCAAATTCATTTAGAGGCACTGAGTTTCATAGCATGAAAGTGCAGCTGACTTGAATGATAACCTAACAACTGAACTTCTGAATCGCTTCAGAACTAGGTGTCATTTTGGAGGATGGTCAAACCTCATCTTTAGAAATGTGATCGCATGCGCCACAATTTATCTGCCTTTACGCAACCGACACAAATGTGCAGGGTACATTTTCGAGATTTCTTCGATGGCGCCTGTCCAAGTTTTTTGTCCCAATAGGTTTGCTTAAATTTGGATTACCCTTCAGTGCGCATCAGTCGTTCATTCAATTTTTCTCCCACTGCTATTTTCCATAGTGTTTACCGCTTTAGTGCCAACGCCTTTATAACAAACACACTTGTTTATTTTAGTTTATTCTGCGAGTAATCCGGGCATTTATCTGTTCAGGAGATTTGGCATACTCGCCAGTCCGTGCACGCGTTCAACTATTTGCGTCTCAAACCTTGACTTTCGAATTCCTACAAATATCAATTATTGCAAGAACTGAGAAAGCAAACCCTGCAACAAAACTGAACCATTTTTCTCCCTGAATGCAATTCATAAGCGTGTAAATAAAAAAAGTGTTTTGAGGGGTTTTGTGCACCTCATGGAATACGCATAGGAATAGCTTCTATACTGGTTTCAGTCCGATAGAGACTCGTCAATCTTGATGGTTCTGCTGAAGAACTTACTCTTGTATCCAGTCGTACTATCTCTTGTGAATGGTTTGCGTATTTTACAAATAAACGCTCGTGAAAAATGCAACCAACTGGTGACACAAGACGCACATCCATGCAGTGGTCTCCAACAAACGTCCTCCCACTTTCGTCTTTTCAACTCAAAGCAAACAGTGCTACGGTTAGTCTGTCGAGATAGACTCTAATCTAGCAAACGGAGCAGAGGTTGTTAGCATCTCAATCAAACATTTACTTTCATTCAAATTTCCAACAAATCGGGGCGATTCAGACACAAAAATGCATTGTGAAAGAGGAGACAGCAGTTCAGGATAGGAAGAAATGAAGTGCATCCGTTTCAACAATTAGTCCGGAGATGTAATTCTAGGGGAGTGCGTGACGAATTCCTCGCAAACAGCAGCCACCGTCTGATCAATTTCATTTCGTCTGCAACGATTCTTAAAACACATTTGTCGGGTTAAGTTAGCACCTTGGGTTGATTTTATCGCAGACGCGACATAAAACATCGAATTATCGAGATCTGTGATTACCTCCACAAGAACCTCGTGTTCTTTTTCCTTACGTGCGCACTACTTAAGACGGAATCTCATACGTAGGTAGACAGTGACGTTGGTTCGGAAAGAAGCGTCGGAATTCATATCAGTATGTCTTCACAGCACAAGTTATCACCGCTTACGTCATAAGTAGTGGACGACTGATAGCTGAGTAAGGCGTTCCAAGTAATTCAACCTAGGAATTATTTGTTAAACAAAATTTTGTTGACCAAAATTAACAGTACACACACTCAATTCGACAAACATGGCTGACCGAAAGATTTGGATCCCGTGAATGACGAACGGCTCTACATGCTGTCTAGAAGCAAGTTAGTCGTATTGCTGATCAACCGCTCGTGTCCAAACGGTTGTGTTCTAACTACTAGCCAGGAGGTCGCGTGTTCGAGACTCCCCCGAGGTTCGCAAAATCCACACTGCTGATGATCCCCAATAAGGATGAAACAACTTCCTCGAAGGGCTCTCTTCGCACAACCTCGTGAAGGATGGAAGAGAGCCAGAGGCGGTCAAACAATGACTTGGCAGCGAAGTGTGAAAGCCATTACCAGCAAACTCCGCTGCGCTGGTCACTGCCGTCTTCCTGGATGGGGACCCCGAGACGGGCCAGATCAAAGGGTAGAGACATTGTCAGACATGGCCCAGTCGCGCCCTCAATGACGCTCGCGCATCAAAGCTATTGCCTTCAATGCATAGCTCCTATTTCAACCCTCCCACTTGACAGCCCACTGACAATGCTGGATTTACGCACTTATTTATCAGCTCCCGCCTGCAATGCGCATCTACCTAGCCCCCCCCCCAAAAAAAAATCATCGGTGGACGAAACTGCGGCACCTACAACCACTGTAAGACGAGTACGCGGTTAGTACAGCTGACAATGATGATGCTGATGAACTGTTCAGTGCTTCTTGGCATAGATTGGCTTCAATTGCAGGATGAAACCTCCACAAAATTCCCGAATCTCGTCACTCTACCAAGACTTGCTTGCACACCGATTTGGTGTCCACGAGAGGCTCACTTAGAAATCTGCTGAATCTCTCGTTTATGGAACGTCTTGGCTAAATGGGCAGCAAAAAGACCACCTCATGTTTCATTTACCACGATATTCGAGATAGTGCAGTATATTTCTTACAAAGGAAACTACTCACAGGGTCGCTGAAACCAGGGAATTCGCCCCAATAATAAGCCGGAAGAAGGACAAAATTGTTGCGGGCTGTGGAATAGTTTTCAGCAACCTAGTAAGTAGTTTTGTTCATGAAAGGGTACTCATCTTAACTTTCTCTGAGATATGCAGCTTTGGACAGAGTTACATTTATGAAAAAACACTAGATTAAACAGAGATTCACTCTCCCGAATATTCCGTTCTTATTGGAGAATGGTGCGAATCGATTTGTATCTACAGTGTATCTCGTTCGTCTTTACACCCAGTCCTTTCAGGTTTCAACCATATTTTCATTTATAGGCAATGAAACGATTACGATACAAGGAGGTACAAGTGATTGACGTTACTGAAAGTTCAGGTAAGCTCATGTACGTTGTTTTCCGAAAATTATGTTTTTATAAGTGTTTGTGGTTGAGTTAATTCGGTTTTACGTTTGATAAAACGGGCTTGCCGTGATAGGAATACTTATAAGTTATAAGTAGCGGAAGCATCTCTGGCTGTTGTGCGAAGGGAAATTATCGCTCAAGAAAAACTGGTAATTTACTCATGCACAGGAACAATTGTGAGGGAGTAATAAGTTGTAATGTAGACGTAATACACTACTCATGAGGTTGCTGAAAATTCCTCGACACCCCATGACTAGTTTTGCCCTTTTTGGGGCTTATCAGGTAGGCGCAGTCCTCGAGTTTCCGTCAATCTCATGTTCTACTTGAAACCAAATTACACGAGCTTCGCGGGGTACACTCATTTGCAAACAAATTAGGTTTTGCGACAGACTCACCTGAAACCTAGCTGAATCTTTCTCGTTTGTGATGTTACCAGGCCATGGAATGTGCTACTACATGGGTGTATTTCACCAGAGTTGTTATATCTCTGTAGATCGACAAAAGTCCTTGCATAACACACCAGATCAGAGAGGACATTACATATGCAGATCACTGAGGCATTTTGAAAGTGCCCTTCCAAATATATGCCTGTGTGGATGGCTAAATAACGGTTGGCGAACTTTTCAGTTTTGACGCATTCAGTAGATGACACACACAAAATTTATGCTCGCTTACCATATTAACAAATTTTTCCTTGTTCAACCAGAGTCAAACCAGTTTGCACGACTGAGGCGGTGGGGACCGCATCCATTAATCAGATCCATTCCTTCAGAAGATCTTTTGCACATATTCCAACTAGCCTGGACTATTAAACCCATTTAGTTCTGCAAAGTTGACGGACTTTAGGCGTTTTATTTGAACAACACAGTTCGTCAGAGTTCAACACAAATTAACCCAAGCAGCGTTGTCCTGTTTGACGGAGTTAGAATACTACTCACGAAACCAGTAGCCTCTCTTATTTACTCGGAACATAACAGTACATATATGCAAGCAGATGATTTTTTTAATCACTCTGCATATATTTTTGTAGCTAGAAACAAAAATACTGAGGATGCTTTCGTCCCTCAGGAGCGTCTGAGTATTTACCAAGCTACACACATTCTGGGGTTTTATTTCTCATAGGCTGTAATGATAAAATCCTCAGAGCTGGTTTGCAGAGATATTCCATCGAAGGATCGATGTGAATTCAAGACACCCCAATGGGGGTGTCCGTGGCATAATAACTGAACAGTGAGACGTTCGTGGGTTTCTCATTGTGTTCCAATTGTAAACCATAACGAAACTTAGAATTTCCTATTATACACTCATTTGCAAACTAATTTGGTTTTCAAATGAGTGCATATTAGCTAATTTCGTATAATTTGGTTTCAAGTAGAACATAAGGTTGACGGAAATCTGGGGACTGCGCTTACCTGATGAGCCCCGAATTGGGCGAAACCGGACCGGTCGTGGCTGTCGACGGAATTTCAACAACCTTGTGAGTAGTACATTAGAATTTCCTAACTTTTGTAGCAAAGCTGTTGCCAAACTTGGGTGTACCAAATACAAGTACACAGTTGCCTGCCCCCGCACCCAAAAACGGTGCCAGAGAATGGCCTCTTTCTTGGTGATGTCGGTGGGAAGACCTTTTGCGTACACACTAAAGCTAAATTAAGAAGCTAAACTGGAAGCCAGTAACATAAACAGTTACTGTTAGTAAGATCATACGATAGGTCATTTGTGCCACCGAACTATATATTGGTGAAACAAATCAGAAAAATTGCCCATTGAAAACACACTGAAAACACAAGACTGCATTAAAGATCGTCTGTATCACATCAGGACACTTCTGAGTCTAGTTAGTGCTCCAAGGGCTCGATGTGGCCGGTCGCTTATTTGAGGCTCAAGCTTTCATGCAACCGCAATCATAATTAAAAATGACATTGATGGTAACCCTACGTATCTCGTCTCGAAAAAGCATGATTGTCATAAGTTCGGTGGTTGTATCCGTTAACTTCTGTAGTAGGCGACCGTATGATCTGAGGAGAGGGGGAAGATAAATCATCCCAACCGAGTGGGAAATTCCATGAGAGTCGATCGTGGGGTTCAAAACTCGTCAATAAATAGAATTTCATGTTCATACCATCTGTTATCGACAATAACAAATCAGGCCGGTAAGACAACACCTGAAAAAGAAACAAATCGCAATTTTATATTTCGATATTCCAGGTTTTTTTTCCTTTTAGTCGTCCTCCAAGCTAGCAGCATTCTGAACAGTCGTTTGCTCCTACTTTATTTGATGTTGTGGTGTGAAAGCAGTCCTGAATATTTAGGGCCTGAAGATTTCCCCTTCCAAAAGAAAGTTTATTTTCTGAGGTCCTGCAACAGTTCACTCTTCGGGGAACGCAGAATATGTACAGAAATATGGGACACGAATAAAAACGTTGTGGTGACGGTTGGAATTCCCGACCGTATTGAGTAGTACTGCTGCAAGACTGGGTTTGGACCTTAGCCTCATGTTAACGGATGAGCAAACTGAAGCAGCAGACAAAACATGTCTACCTGGGCAGTTGTATCAGTCCCGGCGGTCTCGCGAGAAATGGATTCCCATTCGGATTGGAAAGGCCAGATCAGCTTTCGTAAACTTGTTCACTTGTGGCGTGGGCGTGACATCAGCTTATTCGTCAAAGGTCGAGTTTGTAATGCTGTGGTGGGTTTCATTTAAATATGTGGGTCAGAAAACTGGCTCCTGAGCGCTGTGGAAGTTAGAATACTTCCATTGTTTGATCATCGATATAGCCCCCAGAACTGGCTACCGGCGAACGGGACGGAGAGCGAGCATCATGAGTCTTTTTCAATCGTTGCTGTGCTCGTTGCTCGTGCCACATTTTCTAACCACCTTTATCTATTCGCTGAGTGTTTTGACTAGCTTGGCGCCAGTGGAAAGGAGTGGCACTGCAACAAGGCTTTCCGATCAACTTCAATAACATAAGCGGCTACGGCCCTTCACTTTACGACCCGAACGGTCGCATTGACGCTCACGGGATGCCCGCAAGAGCTCACGACCGACAGCTGCTACATGCTTTGAACTTGGATCCAGTTTCGATTGAATCTTGGGTTTCTTGTCAGTTTCGAGGGTTCCGCGAGACGTGATACATCATCGGCTAGGGACACTGTGAAGCATGGCCCAGTCATGCCCGCGATGGCACTCTCGCATCCAAGTTGTTGCCTTCAGTTGTATCCTCCTTACCCCTGGTGAAAAATCTGCTGACACTCCTATATTTACAGATCAGTTATGCGACCTACGACCGCCAGCGCGCAGCTATCTACCCCAGATCATCGGCGAACGGAACTGTGACAATCATGACCACTGTACGGCAAGTACGCAATTCTCACAGCTGATGATGATGATGATGATGAGTGCTTAAATAGCCTGAGGTCATTACTACTCATATATCGTTTTCACTTGACGTGTGCTTCGTTGTTTAGATGGGACGTTTTTGGGCACCTTGATGAGTCGCTCTCGAATAACGAGGTCGTACATGCATTTGCAAGTGGTCGGTAATGTTACACTTAAATGAGTTAAAGTCCGTTTATGTAGCAATCTTTTTCTTTTGGTGTTTTGTGTTTGGGACGTCTTTCAAAATCCTGCCAATGAATTTGACATGGACTTGCATGAAGTCTTGGTGAGCAACATGAACATCATGGGACAAAACGAATTCTTCCTGTTGATGTGGTTCAAAGAGCCACTTGTTTCTTGTACATTGTATTTTCAAATGATTTCAGCCTAGAAGAAGGGTGGGCTACCCATTTCCGATACAGAGTGGATTCTTGCACTGATACGTTCCCCCATAGACAGAAGACACTCCTGAGTTAGAATCGAAGAATTAGTACCCACACTCTGATGAGCGTTCGATAAGATCGGGGAGTCCGATCCAACCTACACATCGAAACTTATACGTTATTCGTAACTGATTTACCGATAGATTAAGAGTCTAAAGCTGTGAGCGTCCTCGGTGATCCTCACACAAAAATTCCTGTTATTATCCAGCTACGACATACTTTATTGTAAATACATATGCCTCTGCTGTGCGAACACTCAAAATGAATGGGTTGGAGTGTGTATTTACCCGGTTGTAGATAGCTTGAGCTATGAAATCTTATAGTGGATTTTCTAATGCGTACTGATCACACATCCCGTGATGCGAACAAGTGAAGTGGTTACGAATGCGTCTTTAACCCCAAACTAAGATCACGAGCCTTCTCTCTGGCGTACGTGTATTCCGAGAGGGATGAGCTATAATTTGGTAGCAGAATATTTATGCTCAGTATGTACATTATCGCATCACTTTACTGTTTTTTCTACCTTACAGAGGCCTACTCAAGTATTGCTGCTCCTGATGGAGTTTGTACCGAGGATAAATCTTCAGAGACCAGACCCAAAAGCCGAATAACACGGATGGTTATCGCGAAACGTTTGGTACTTATCGGTGCACTGCTGATTGTGCTAACCATAAGCATCCTTTGCCGTAATTTTCTCCATCTTTCCGACTACTTTGGTCCATATTGTGTTTTCACAAACGGGACCTTCATTACAATCAAACCCGATTCGTCCCTGGAAAATTGTACCATCGTGAAACTCTGATTGCACATCATCAATTTTTCGGGTTTCTCAGTTCCTGGTTGTTTTTCCATTTGAAACTTTCATCTTATTTTCATCTGAAAAGTCATTTGTTATGCATTGTTTTTTCTCTCAAGACCGCATCAACTTTTCTCACTAATTTCAAAAGATCTAGATAAATCTGGTGAAAATAAAAAGTGAAACTAACATAACGCATATGTTTTCCTTTTTTCTACGCGAGGAATCTTTTTGATTCGAGGAAAACTAAGTGATATTAATAACTACAACCTTCTTAAGGGAGCTGTCAAATTGTCCACAGCATCGTAAAGCGAAACACACCAACAGTGGTAGGTGATGCTCAAATGCTGCACAACCAAGGAGGATGAACTATCTTTTAAATGGTGAATGGGAAGAGGAGTTAGCGAATATACACTCATTTACAAACTAATTTGGTTCTTCGAGAAACTCACCTGGAACCTAGCTGAATCTCTCGTTTGTGATGTTCTCAGCCAGGTGAATGTACTGCACAAGGCCGCCTCATGTTTCGGTCGCTACGATATTCGAGATATCGCAGCACATTCAGTTGCCTGAGAATATCACAAACGAGAGAGATTCAGCTGGGCTCCAGGTGAGTCTCTCGAAAAAACCAAATTAGTTTGCAAATGAGTGTATATTCGCTAATTTCGTGCAATTCGGTTTCAAGTAGAACATAAGGTTGACCGAAATCCGGGGACTGCGCCTACCTGATGAGCCCCGAGAAGGGCGAAACCGGTCGTGGGCTGTCAACGGATTTTCAGCAACCTTATGAGTGGTATATTACAATGATATGCATGTATCTCGGGAAGAGGACTTCTTCATGCAGAATAAGGCAAGTGGCTACACTTTTCGAAGACAATGAACAAAACATATCCGAGCAGCAAACGTCTCACTGACACAATATGGACGCCATGTCGCGCCCCATCGCGCGCAAGCAGGGTCACGTGGATATAACCCAGCATTAGCAGCTCTCACTTTGCGTCGCCACGCCATGACCAGACCTCCGCGAACTTTCATGGGACGCGTATTACAGCTATGGCTGGAAGAGTCGCTTCGGGTATCTTTCTGAAGTAGGCCAATGAGTGATTGACCCCAGGTTGCTAAGGTGCTCTCTACCCCCAGTTAAAGTGAATAACCGGGCCAAGGCGAAATGATCATCACTGCCCTTGAATATCTCCCGCAGGAGCTCATATGGCCCAACAGCGTTACAAGGTAAAAAGGTTTACTGATACTTAGGAAATTAAAGAAGGGTATATACTCGCATACCACGCCTCGGAATAAACGAGTCAGTTGAAAGATATGGACACAGAGATGGACGGCCGAGTAACGTGATGTATAAAATACTCAGCTTGGTGGTCAAGACGATTGTTCATGTTGTATATTGCACTTCAAATGTTATCACTGACCGTCCCAATAACTGCCGATTTTTCCTGCCCTGTATGGTACATCACGTGGAAAAGTTCCCCCGAGATTTCTAGCTACCCCAGGTTTTCTAATTTTTAGAGTCAGCTGATCCCATCATTGTTTCTATCACTCAGAGACTTTGTTTGGGCTGGCTTTTAACAGCCCTTTTGGTTGAATTCTACGCAGTATTCGGAGGGCTACGACCTCTCTCATAGTGAAACAACATCGACTGTTTTGTAATCTAGTGCCCATCTGGCGAACCCTTAGAAACATCACATGCCAAGTACTCTGTCGTGTAAATGGCGGGGATCGTCCCAGATATATCGTGAGGATTCACAAGCTTCCCAGAATTCACATAGGCTTGCGGCGTGGAAATTTTGTTCGATGGACAAGCGAGGAGGTCGTTTCTTTGATTCCCTCAGCAAGCGTGTAGAAAATTTACACCATTCGACAGCATGCAATAAATTGATGTAAATGGTTTTGAAAGTTTGACAGTCAGGAATGGATCCTCACCAGTAAGTGCTAATGGTTTTGTGGCAGACCGGTTTTGCGTCCTGAGACCACGGCACACTGGCCACTAAATAGCACCTCTATTGCAATGAGACTTCCTAACTGTGCCTGAGCCTGCTGGTGGCTAGCAGATTACCTTAGCCCCTCGTGAGAGATACGATAATAGCTAAATTGTACTGATTAGTATCTTTCACCGAATCAAAACAACATTAGTTTTATGCGTAATCGGAAACTGGAGACAAAGAACGGATTCTACCTCCATCATGGCAGGATCTTTTAAGCAAACAGTGCAAAGGCTTTGATAGTCAAATGTAGTTGGACAGTGAGGATCTAGTCTATGCAAACTGTTTACAGATACAATGGCATGGGTACATAAATATGCATACTAATGGCTTCCGTGGTGGGTAAAATGCCAGTATTCATCATCATCTTAATCACCATCATTATCATCATCATCGACAGCATGACATCAGTGTTCAACACCGATGCTTCACTGCCGTAAATGCCAGTATTAGTTGTTTTTGGCAATCGCGTGCAAACTGTGCGAATCGATTACTCATGGTTTCAAGCTGTTTCAATTCAGGGTCAGATGCTTCCCTAAATGCCAGTATTAGTTGTTTTTGGCAATCGCGTGCAAACTGTGCGAATCGATTACTCATGGTTTCAAGCTGTTTCAATTCAGGGTCATTTCTTGATTATAATGTGGAGGCAAAACCCAGAAGCAGTATACGGGATGTATTCAAACCATAGTTGTGTGTGCTGCTGAGTAGTCTGACCATGGGAGATACTCCTTGAGTATCAACGGTCCGGGGTTGTACTCTCTAAGTTTTTCTGAATACGCTCACTCTGGGATCATTTCCGTCCTGGACTTGGGTCCCTCCTAATTGAGGTTTGTATACCGAATGGAGAGACTGAAGTAATAAAGCGTCACAAAGCCCATCTAGCCCTTGAAATTGTTTGGAGGCTTGTGACAGCTATTTCCCATGAGCTGACGCGAGCCCACAAAATGTTGTTACATTGACCCAAAGATTGCCACAGCAATTGTCAGCAGATTATGAAATGAGTTCACATGCCAAGAGGAGAGTATGGACTCTTAGTATAGGTGATCCAAGCGCAATAATCGCGCGACGATACTCGGCAAAAATGGAGTCCTACAGTCTGTCGGTTGTAATCGGCTGTGCAGAGGCGTGCAGCGCTGGGATATTCAACTGTGCGAAAATTCCCACTAGAAACGATGATTGTCATTTGTCCTTAAGAGGAACAACTTGATGCTTGATTAGCTGTTGTGGCTCGCTAAATACTTCAAAGAAGGCCGTTGTTAAGACAACAAGTGTACGTAGCCGCGGTCCAACAAGACGCTGAAGATAAATTGATTAGGCCAATGGTGCGAAACCATAGTGACGTAGGTCGCTGAAAGATTTTTTTGACTATATAACAGGTCAACAACGTTTTCACCAACATCTTATAAAGGTTGTTTAGAGAAGACAAACATACTCATTTGTATATCAATTTGATTTTCACGAGAGACTCGACTGAATATGTCGTTTATGATTTTCTCCTCAAACGAGAGAGATTCGTGAAACCCCGACGAAAATGTCCTTATTTAAGTGCAAGTTGTCCCTGCTGAAAAGCCGAACAGTATTGTGCTTCATTCTTACTGGTAATCATTAGTAGTGGACACTGCAAGAAATTTCGACTTGTGAACTGGCCAACCAATGACAGCCTTATAAACATTTTTCCGCGTCCGAATAACCTCCAGCTAGCACTTACCTGTTTCCTGGACGAAATCTGAACATTGCTAGATAGAAACATCAAGACACAGGTCTTAAAAAGTAAGAAAAATGGACAATTGGTGTGACTTCCGTGCACTAGACTAGCAAGGGCATGCTGGGCGAAAATGCCAGTAGAACCACAGAAAGCTGTCTTGATTTTTGACCTTGTTTTTTTTGTATTTGGGACCCGTTTGATCTGAGGATAAATTTCAAGTGCACTGAATTCACGTCAAACAGCTCTGAACAAAGCGTCCGCTCCGTCCGAACTAATATACAGACCGTTAATGTAAACCAATGCAGACAATGTTAAAAATAGTTTCTGGACTGCAAAAAAGGTGTTTTGTGAAGTAGAAAAAAATGCTGAAAGTCGGTTAGAACGATTTTTCTAGCGTGTCCAATGGAGAAGATGCATTAAAAGTTCAGTAAACCTAATCAATCGCATTAGCACACCCATTACGCTTGTCTAACCGAGGGTACATTCGGCTATCCTGATTTGACCGGGGTTTCCTGGTAAATATATCCACCCTACTTAAGACAAGCTGCAATCGCGCAACATCCGTATGATAGCGCCTATACTTACACATTATTAATAGAACGTTTTGGAGAAAGAGGAATACAAGTGGAAGAAAGAAGGCCGCGGAGTTGTTTACTAGAGAAACACCAACCGAACAGTTAAAGTTTACAAAGCTGAATATCCATCTTCTCCTTGAACCCGTTTTCCTGATCTTTTCTGAATATCTGTTGGCTGTTACTCAAATGCAGGAAAATGTTACAAAGCGACTCCACAAATTCCGTAATAGATCTCACTTTTCAAGAGACGTGAAGGGGATTTACGAGAAGACACTACTCTCATGCCTCATCGGTAGTATCGACCGTTACACAAGTAAGTAAAATGGTCAGTGATGTTGGCCAGTAATACTGTTTCACAACTGGTTGATTCAGGGGCATTTTAGCTCTAGGTTTGGTCACGCAACGGGGGTCCAGCGTTTTCACGTGAAGCATTTGATGACAAAAGATTGTCGCAGTCGAATCAGAGCTCCGGCGACCGTTGAAAACACTTCCTAACGAAAGTTCCTAGAGTAATTTGATGGAATTCATTTCACTAAATGGATCTTGTGGATTCATCTGGTGAGCCACATTTTTCAAGCGGTTTGAAATCAGATATTCCGTGGATGAGTAATAGACCTACCCAGGTTTTCCAAAGGAGATTTAGTGCTTCTCACGAAGACAATCCATGCTGAAACGCAGCGAAGCACAATACGGATCTCTAATCATCACTAGTTCACATCTCATGAAATTTCAGGAAGTCTCGAACCCGTGAACTTGCGCCAAGTGATTAAACTCAAATCGTTTGGGAACGACCGATTGATCAGCATTGTGACCGTTTCACATTTAAACGTGATATAGCGCCCTCAGCCTCCAGTCACAGAAACCACATCAGGTGGTGCATTATAGAAGAACTCTTTGGATGGCGGCTTCT